TTGATTAACTGTGTATGTGTTTGTTTAATGACTGCCTTCCTTGCCAGACTGTAAACCCACTCTGACATAGTGGATGGAACACAACAGGTGCCCGGTAAATAGGTGCTGAATGAAACTGTAAACTAAGTGAATGAATGAATACCAGAAAAAGAAATGTTAAATTACTAATCAGATCTCAAAAAAATCATCTTGCTGGAGCCTCGATTATTTGCCCTGTCATTTCTCATTTGATAAAAACTTGAGTAAACTCTTCATTGTTTGAAGATACCTCTGTAGTTACCATCGGGCTTCCCATGGGGGCTCAGTGGTAAAGACTTCAACTGCCAATGCAGGAGGTGCAGGTTCCATCCCTGGGTTGGGAAGATCCTCTGGAGGAGGAAATGGCAACCCACTCCAGTATTCTTGCCTAGAAAATCCCATGGACAGAGACGCCTGGTGGGCGGTAGTCCATGGGGTCACGAAGAGTCAGACATGACTGAGCATGCCCATACACACTATAGTTACCAAACATGAACAGCGGTAGCCATAAAGGCAGCTTACTGCTTTGTCTGATTGTTTATTTCCTACCATGCTTTGTACTGTTCACTTTCCATATATTTTTTTATCTTCACAAGCACTCTGAAAGGTAGAGGCTGGGGCTTTCTGTTTGTTTATTTTCAGTCCCTATTTCCAGATGAGAGGACCAGGGCTCAGAGTTTAAATCACTTGCCTAAGGTTACTCAGCCCGTACATGGCAGGTGCAGAAGTGGAGGGGTGTCAGGGCGGGATGGAGCACCTTCCTCTCTGCTAGCGCCCTTCCCCTCATTAATGGAGAGAACTCAGTTTCTCTCTCTTTTATAAATGGGGTGTCTGCGTTGTTTTCTTTGAATCCAGAGTTTTATGGCTAAAGAAGAATGTGAAAACCTCAGGTCTTCAAAACGAATTTGATGCCCCCTTTTCAGCCTCACGCCTTCCTGCCAGCATATCTCCTACCATGCTTCTGCCTGCAGTGGCCTGTCCTTTATTCTGCAGCCAGTGAGTCACTATGCATCTCTAGGGCACTTCCTAAACCTCGCAGCAGAATGAGCTGTGCTCTCCATGTCCTCCTTCCTCCTGCAGAAAGTCTGTCCCTCCATCCCAGCAGTGCTCTTCCTCAGCAGTGGTTGATGAGTCTGTCTGCACTGCTGGGCTGAGCCTATGGAGGAGTTGGACCAGGCCTCCCTCGTCTCTGGCGCTCCTCAGCCCGGCTCGGGATCTGGCAGCGAACACTGGGGCTCCCGCCAATGCTTGATGAGTGAATGCAGGCCAAGTGCAGAGCGGGTGCTCAGAACCAACCGACTGAGCCCAGAGCCTGAAATACAACTAGCCTGAGCTCACAGAACACCGTGAATGCGAGATGGAGATGATCAGATGTATCACTGGTTTGGAAAGGCATTACAATATTTCCATAATAGAGTATGTTTCTTTTCTAAAACAGATGTGCCCTCGTTGTTTCATGAGGAAGTAATTAAGTGTGTTTGATTAAAACATTCATAGACGCTATCATTTATTCAAGGCTCCTACTATATGCTGCTGTCTTTACTGGTACTTTATATACGTCGTGTCTGCTTCTCCCAACCCCCCTGGACAAGGTGTTTTCATTATCTTCACTTCAGAGATGGAGAAACCGAGGTGGAGAGAGATTAAGTAGCTTGCCCGAGGACAGTCAGCTTCTGAGTGATAGATACAGGAATAAAACAGGTCTGACTTACTTCAGAATTGAGCCTTTCCATTACCCTGACTGCTTCCAACCTTGTATTTTGGATTCGTTCAGCTCAGCATCACCCTGAACCAGCATGCAGATGCCCTCTTCCTCTCAGCACTTCCTGTGCCTGGCATCCCCTCCCTCTCTTCCCTTCTCCCCCGCACCCTCACTGTACCCCCCCATACCCTCACTGTACCCCCCAGACCCTCACTGTACCCCCCACACCCTTCCTGTACCCCCCACCCTCACTGTACCCCCCCCACTTTCTTAGATTATTGCCTCTGTATTTGCATCCTGAAACTGACATATTTTTGTCAGTGTCAATAATTAAATACTACAATATGTGGAAACTGGTGTCAATAGTGTAATAGTGTCACATCTTCATTAATAAATATAAAAAATACTTTATTAAGGCCAAATTACATATATTATGATTTTGTTTTCTTTATGTAGCCATTTACTCTCAAGATTTTTTGAGTCCCAATTTGTATAATTTTGAACATGTGATTTTTTTTCCTCCATGTAAAATATAACAGTGTAGTAAAATACATTTTTTTAATTTTTTTAAAGGTTGTCTAAAAAGCAAGCTATTTCAAATTATATATGAAATGTTAGATTGAAATACTTCTCTGTAAAGAAGTTTAAGAGGTTTCTTACAGACTTAGATTCATTTATTTTCTGCCCCTCCTAGTGTTTCAGCAGGATTAAGTTTTTTGAATCAGCGGATCAAGTTTTAATTTTCCTGTTCCTTCCTTATACTGACATATGCTTTGGCAGAACAAAAAAGAGACCTAAACATGTCAGCATGATTTTTGTTCAATGAATTAAAAACCATAAAAGTAACAAGATCTGATCCAAATCCCTAAACTCCTGACATGGTGGTTTTGTCCTTTTCAGTCCCAAGATTCATATTACTGACTTTGAAAAAAGCTTTCTGCCTGGAAGCAGAAGTAATGGCAGCAGCACATAATTTATTTGAAATAGACTGCAAGGGTAGGCAGCCTGGAGTAGGGGGAAGAATGCAGCCTGGAAAGATCTGGATTTGAATCCCAGTTCTGTCACTCAAGCCCACAGGCTAGTTACTTAATGCCTGTGTACCTCAGTTTCCTCATTGGAAAATGGGGGTTTTAGAATCTAGTTTGATGAGTTGTAAGGTTCAGTGAGGGAATAAAGTACTCACCTAGCATTGAGGGGTTTAATACTGGTAGGAGTCAGGATTATATTCATTTTGAGAATATTTTGAGAATTTGAGAATTTTTGTGAATTCAAATAGTTGGATCCAGAAGAATTTATTTATCACTCAGCTGTCCACTTTATCTTCACAGTTTGTCCTGTCTCAAAATTCTTTCATTTTTTTCTCATCCTATCAGAGAAAAAGTAGTAGGTAAATGCCACTTAATCTTTAACTCCTATTTGTCACTGTTTCACATGGAACACTTATACCCAGGATTTGCGATTATCCTTCACAAGCCAGAACCATGTTGACTTAAGGGTCAGGAACCATATGCCAGTGATGTCCAGTTCAGAATTCAGGAGGCAGAGACTTTTTTCATACTGACACCATTGGCTTTTGAAGCAGGCCAACATAGGTTTGGCTTTGTTTAAGATACCAAAGTTTTCCATCCCTAAAATGGAGTTTGTGATCTTAAAAGACCCTCTGTGATATGGCTTGCCAGCCTCTTTTCCTGTTACTCCCTTCTTTGCTATCTCTGCTCCATTTGGTTCTTCACATGACCACAATCTCCTAGTAACCTAAAGCCTTTGTGCATGCTTTTTCTTCCTCCTGGAAATCCCTACCAATACTGGCAACTCACATGTATTCTTTAGATCCTTGTGGGCTACTAGTCAGGATAGGATGAGCAGTGCTGTAGTAGTCGTCCCCCAAATTTCCATGGCTCAAACAGTAGAAACATTTCTTGTTCATGCCAAGTGGGGCATTGTTCACCATTGTCTCTCTGGGACCCAAACTGATGGAAGTTCCCTCTCAACTTGCACTGCAGCCAGCGGGAACAAATGTGGTAGGGTGCATGTGAGCTCACAATGGTGACACCCATTCTGCTCACATCTCATTGGCCAAAGCAAGTTGTGCAGCCACACCAAACTTCAGAGGGGACAGGAAGTGCATTCCTACCGGAAGGAATAAGAATCAGAATACCAGTGAACAAACCTAATGACAGCCACACTCAGATATTGTTTCCTCAGGAAAGTCTTCCCTCCCCCAACTGACCGCTCCCCAAACACGGACACGCTCTATTGTAAAAGTCTCTTTACTTAGCTCTTGGCCTAGCTAAGCTCCCTCAGAGCAGGAGAGAGGTCTGTCACCTTCATCGTTGCACGCTTGGTGCGCAACCAGCATTCTGGTCCTGACAGGTAGTAGTGTGCACACGAGCAAGAAACCAAGACAGGACAAGCATGTTGGCTTTTGCGATGATTAAGTGTAAAATAGGAATAATAACTGCTTCATACAATTGTAAGGGTCAGCTTACAAAAAGTTCTAGAGTGCTTGTCCCAGAGATTTATAATAGGCCTTCAGTGTGCTCATGGTTGTTATTATGATAAGGACATTAGTAGTTAAAATAACGACATTTATTAAGCATGTTTAATATGCCAGACACTCTCATGGGTACTTTAAGGAAGTTAAATGGTACAGTATTCTCATGTGTTGTGTCTGGGTCAATGCTAAAGCGATTCACAAGTAATTTGTCATAATAATAGTTAAGATTCTGAAGGCTACTACTTATTTGTTTTGGATGATTTAGAGCTATAGAGATGATACTGTTTCTGTAGCATCTCATTCATTGGCATTTTTTTCTTTAGTCGGAGACAAAGGGGTGGAATTACAGCTAATAGTTGCTTTGTTTTAAAATGTGCCAGGGTCAATGTTAAACAAGTTACACAGACCATTCTGTAATCTTCACACCACCCCTTTAAGTCAGGTACTGACAATCCCATTATACAGATGGGAACCCTGAGGAAGGGAAGTCAGTTATGCATCCAATAAGAGGCATGGCCAGGATTTAACTTCAGGGCTGCCTAGACTCTCTGACTCATGATTTTAAGCAGCACGCTTACTGGCTGTCCTCAGTTATCTCACCAGGAACCTTCCTTGACCCTGAGCATCCTCCTGGGCGTGTGTCAGGAATGTGAAGATCTTCTACCGACGGAGAGTACAGTTATAAACTGCTGAGCTAGTGCATAAAGTGATGTTGAATTCTTGGCAGGCAGTTCATACATGGGATGATTGTATTGAACTTTTTTTTTTTTTGTCTTTTATCAGAGTAACCCGGGAGCACAGAGAAATGCTGGTGAAGCTGGCTAAACAGAACACGAACAAGGCCAAAGACTCTTTACGGAAGGTTCGTACCAACGCAATAAACAAAGTGAAGAAATCAAAGGACAAGGCCTCCGAGGATACCATTAGGCTCGTAGAGAAACAGGTACTATTGCCAACAGATGTCGTATTTACATATCTGACCCAGAAAATCATTGTTCACATCTGAAGTGAAGAAAACGAAAACAGAGTACCCCCAGTTCTTTCACTGACATGACTGGCATTGGCCGAGTCTGTCCTGGGCTGGACCCTGGGAATACAGAGGAGGGGAGAGGAAGCTGCTGACCTTACTGTGTTCCACTCTCACCTGAGCACTTTACAACACTTAATTGTCCCCGTCACTGCAAAGTGAGGTGGGTGGGTGGTGAGGAAACTGGGGTTCACAGGAGGAGGTAACTTGCCCAAGGTCACACTCTGGTCAGTGGTAGCTGTAGCACCCAAGCCAGCAGACTGATCTCAGAGCCTCTGCTCCAGGACGCTCCTGTCTGTGCTTGGCTGTCTGGGTGCTGAGAAGTGAGGACCTGGCCCTGTTTGTAGTGTGCTGAGTGAGGGCACTTGAACAAGTCTTAAAGGGGTGACTGGAGCGAAACGGAGACGAGGGGGAATGGGTAACAGCGTGTACAAAGGTGTGGTGATGGAAAAGGGCACTGTTCAGTGAGATGACTGTGGCTTGGACCCAGGATGACATAGGGAAAGGGCAGAGGTGACAGTGGCCAGCTCACTGCGGGTTTCCTGTACCAGGTTGAGGAGTTTGAACTTTAACATGTCCAGAGGTTCCCATGTTGGCTCTGCATCTTTATTGGTCATTCGTGGCCACACTGATGCTACATAACATACTACCTTGAAATTCAGTGATGTGTATTTCAAGCATTTTCTTATTCCTGTCTCTCTGGGTCAGCTGGGAGGTAGCTCTTCTAGGCTGAGCTCGATGTGGCTCAGCCATTGGGACTTCCCAGGTGACTCTAGTGGTAAAGAACCCACCTGCCAATGCAGGAGATGCAAGAGATGCAGGTTTGAGCCCTGGGTTGGGGAGATCCCCTGGAGAAGGAAATGGCAACACACTCCACTATTCTTGCCTGGAGAATCCCATGGACAGCTGGCGAGCTACAGTCCATAGCATCGCACAGAGTCAGACACAACTGAAGTGACTTAGCATGCACCTTCTCAGATCTTGGGGCTTAAAGTCAGCTCTGCATCTCTCTCAATCTTCTGGAGTCAACAAGCTTCCCAGGGCATCTTTTCACGGCAACAGCAGATGGCAAGAGCATAAGCTACTCAAATACATTTTAAGCACCTGCTCTTTTCACATTCCACTGGCCAGGCAAATCTCATGTGCCAAGCCCAATATCACTGTGGAAGGGAAGTATATATGTTCATTGAGGTCTGGGGGAGGGGGTGAATACTTCTTGAGCAATAATCTAATCTGTCGCGGCATTAGAGTCACTTGAGGAGCTAATAAAAATATGGTTATATGGGGCCCCTGCTCCCAGAGATTCAGTCAGTGAGTCAGGGGTGGGGCCTAGGGTTCTGCATTTTAAAATGCTTCCCAGATGATTCTGATGCAGTGACTCCCTTGAATGATTATTTTTTCAGAGCATTATTTTTTCAGCAGAGCATCACACTTGTGTTTGAAGGTTGACTGTGGTGGCTGGGTGGAAACCAGATTGTAAGGGGCATAACTGGAAGTTGGGAGGCTGCTGCAGGAATCCAGCCTGAACTTATGTGGTACCCATGTAATTAAGACAGAAAGATTAAAAAAAAAAGACAGATGATTTACCAGTATTGAGGAGACAGAATGTTTAGCTTATAAGCATTATAAGGGACTTTCCCAAAGCCTCCATCATCCACGATAAAAGCATTATGTTGCGAAGATTGAACAGGAGTGTGAGCAGGATAGGGCATAAAGAGGAAAGATGGGGAGGCTAGGAGAGTCGTTAGGGGGTCATGAGGACCCCTTCAATTGACTGTTCCTTCCTCTTAGACTAACAGAATGCTAGTCATAGAGCAGGCCCAACAGTTACTCAGGGAAGAATTTTAGATGAATGTCTGGGCCTCCTACATTTTCTGATTCAGTCGGTCTGCGCAGAAATGTGTATTTTTGGAAGGCTCCCCAGACAAGGAAAAACGGAAGAGGCAGTGACGCGGAAGCATGGCTGTGTACCCCTGTCGTGGCACAGGGGTTAGAGAGGAGTTCTACACTCGGTGTCTCGGGACCTTGGGCAAGTTCTTGGAGCCTGTTTCCTCTGTGGAAAGGGGCTTGGAATTCCCGCTGTGAAGGGATGCTCTGGGGATGCTGGAAGCACAGTGCGAGTGTCTGACACTGAGCCCCTCAGGGCTCGCCTCCTGCCCGCCCTCGGGCCTCCTTTTTCTCTGCATTGGCTCACAGAGACTCCTAGACCGGCCTGGCCTTTTCTGAGCACTCACTAGGCCTTGTAAGAGTCCAGCTGGGCCAGCTCCTTGTCCATCTCCCAGGGGATTTCATCGCTGTAGCAGACACTTGGCCTTTTCGTTGCTTTCCGGTGGTGAGCCTGTGACCTCTGATGCCCTTCAGGCACTCTCTCAGCAAGTCTGGGCCTCTGCCTCAGGGACTAGAGTCCATGCTCCTTGGAAAAGGAAGAACGATCACATAACCGGCACTTGTTTTTTTAAAATGTCTTCTTGTACTTTAAGAAAAAAAATTATTCAAGTAACGTTAATTTATAACACTGTATATTTCATGTATACATTATTCTACAACATTCTTTTTCAACTTCTGTATACACTACGGTATGTCCATCACCAGAAGTTTAGTTTCCATCCATCACCATACACAGTGACCCCTCCTTTAACCCTTTTGCACTCCCCTCACATTTTCGGTGTAGGCCTTCAGGTTATCTCTGTAAACATATATGGAATATTACAAGAAAAAAGGTCATGCTATATGTAGTATTACATGATACATCCAGTGCATTAATCTTTATTATTTAAGATATTATCACTTAAATGTTAGCTTTTACCATTGTTGTTAATAACTTTAATTATTGTCATATGGTTAAAAGTTTGGGTAAGAAAATATTCAGGAGACAGCCATGTGCGCACTTCATTTTTTTCTTGTTTCCCCAATAGAAGGCATCAATCTGGAGTTTTGGGTGTGCTTATTTATTGTTGTTATTTATTAATTTGTTTAAGCAAGACAGGAACTAATTTCTGCTTTATCAAAAAGCTTTTATAATGTATTTTTAAATTTTGTTTCTGATTATCAAAGCAGTGAAGGTTCATTGTAGAAAATGTAGAGAATTCAGAAGACTTTAAAAATGGGGAAAATTCACCCTATAGTCCTGGATTTGGGGATATTTCTCCTTTCCCCCCTTTTTTAACTACTTAGTTTTAAAAAAATATTTGGTAGTTTATTTATTAATATATCTTTATTTGTTATATTTATTTTTCAGTTGTTTGACCCTGCTGGGCAGCATGTGATATCTTAGTTCCCTGACCAGGGATCAAACCCATTCCCCCTGCATTGGCAGTGTGGAGTCTTAACCTCTGGACTGCCAGGGAAACTTGGGAACTTAACTACATAGTTTTTAACATGATCAAACAACTTTCTATCCAGTTTTTTATTTTCTGTTTAGCATTAAGATTATTAGCATTTTCTTCTTAAAAAACTCTTTGTAAACAGCCACACTCTGATGGTTGCAAAATAGTCCATCTTGTGGTTATACTGTAATTCACTTTCATAAGCCCTCTTTTTGGACATTTAGTTTGTTTAAACTTTTTTGTTATTATAAATAAGGTTGCAGTGAATGTTTTTATACATAGATCTTTGTTGAGATGACTTTCGTAGGATAGAGTCTCATGTGTGGAATTATAGCACAAGGAAAATGCATATTTTTAAGGTTCTTGTTTTGTACTGTCTAAATCACTTGCAGGGTGTTTAGAATATGTGTATTTTAAAAATTCTTGGCCTTTTCTAATCCTTGACATTTGAACCTAGCATTTTTGATGTGAACTTAAAGTGTTGCTTACCTTAGAAGTATTGCTTTTACTTCCACATTCCGCAGAAAAGATTTATTCTTTCTATAAATCCGTAAACCTTTCTAGATGATAATATACCTATGCATTTCTGATTTATCGACTTAGGGATTTATCCAAAATAACTTCTCAAGAATCTTATCTACAGAGTTGTACATTGATGTATTATGTATAATAGAAAGCTGGGGAGAATTCCCTGGCGGTCCAGTGGTTAGGGCTCCATGCTTCCCCTGCAGGGGACAAAAGTTCCATCCCTGGTCAGGGAAGTAAGATCACACATGCCGCGTGGCGCAGCTGGAAGAGAAAAAAACAACAACCTGAAAACGGTCTAAATTTCTGATAGTAGGAAAATAGCTTGTTTTACATCCATTCACTGGACTCTCTATATAGATATAAAAACACTTTGCAGCCACAGTGAGTTTTCCTTTTTAAGGTAAGATGCAAAAACACTTATTATTAAGTTTCATGTATGTGAAAAGTTTGGCAGCTTATTTACTTCAAAATATTAATGGTGGTCACTTGGATTATGAACAATTGTAATTTTTTTCTTTGTGAAATTTCTTTTTAAAAATTTTTTCCAAAATTCTTTTGCGGTCAGATTTTTTAAAAAAGCTATATTATTAAAGTGTTTCGTCTTTTGTGTACGAGAATAAAAGGGTTCAGTGGTATGTTCTCTCCACGCAGTCATGTCTGACCCCTACCGCTTCCCCCACAGCCTTCCCAATCCCCAACCCAGGCCAGCTCTGCTGAAGAAGGACCAGAGTCTTCCCACTTGGGACTCTTGACATCTGCCAGCCTGCTGTTTCACCTTTGCTTCAGTTTGCTACAAGTGGGTCTGCTGAACATTAAAGCACTTGGCAGAAACCCCCAGTAAACCTAGCCAAGATCCTTTCACTGCTCCCTTTTTCTGAGACCAGCCATTCCGAAGTGAAGCTGGGTGCTCGTGGGGCTGAAAGGCTCCTGTGCCGGCAGGCAGGCAGGTAGGCTGGGCTGAGCGAGGCAGTGGGCGGGAGACACACCCCACGGCACTGTGGGTGTGCTGGGCTGTGCTCCCCAGGTCTGCCCCACGGGTATCTGGTGGGCTCTTACCATCCCCCTTTTCCGTCTCCGCCTCTCATTGTCCTGAACGTGTAAGGAGCCGGCGTTGATGATGACAGTCGTGACCATGACAGTGATGGCACTGATGATGTTATCCTCTTCATGAGGCAGCGTGTTGTAATAGAAAGAGCTCCTACTGTGAAGACTGGCCTGAGTTCAAATCCTAGCTCTTTCATGTCTCTGCTTTTAAGGTCAGCAAATGACTTCACCTTCCTGTGCCTGTTTCTTCATCTGTAAAGGGGAAACAGTAATGCCTGTCTCACAGGATTTGGCAAGAGGACCAAATGTCACAGAATACTTAAAAGCAGCTAGTGTGCTGGCTGGTCTTCAGTAGTCATTTGTCCTATTTGCCCATCCTGCTCCTCTCCCAGCCTTGTGACTTTCACTGTGGGACGGGGATGGGCGGTTTTAATGAGTCTAGCACAGCCTCCTTTGACTGAAGAAGGGCTAGGCCAGGTGCTGTGGGCTCCCTGAGGGGAGTAGCAGCACCACACTGGCAGTCCAGGGTGGGTGAGTTCTTGGCTCAGTCACATCACTGACTTGTTATGTGATCTTGGGCAGGTCAGTTAAAATCCCATGCCATGGTCTACTATCCTGTAAAATGGGGATAATATCTGTCCCATCTGCCTTATGGTATAGGTATGTGAGGTTGTTGGATCTGAATGAAGTCACAGAGGACAAAACACTTCTGCATAGTGTGAACTGTTGTGCAACTATCAGATCAAATAATATTAAAAGGAGATCAAACCAGTCAATCCTAAAGGTAGTCAGTCCTGAATATTCACTGGAAGGACTGATGCTGAAGCTGCAATACTTTGACCAGCTGATGGGAAGAGCCGACTCATTGGAAAAGAGCCTGATGCTGGGAAAGATTGAAGTCAGGAGGAGAAGGGGGCAACAGAGGATGAGATGGTTGGATGGCATCACTGACTCAATGGGCATGAGTTTGAGCAGGTTTCGAGATGTGAAGGACAGGGAAGCCTGGTGTGCAAAGGTTGCAAAGAATGGGACAGGACTGAGCGATTGAACAACAACAAAGGGAGATAATAATAGTATTTTCTATATTTTGAACATGATGTGAAGTAATGCATGTAAAGTTTTTAGCCCAATGTTTGGCTCTTAGTAAATAGATGCTGTTGTTTGTATCCTTGTTGTTAATCATTGTTATTTTAAGATGGATAAGAACTTGAAGGTGGACTGTCCCCAAGGGCACTCTGTGCCTGTAATATGGCAGAGAGTTAGTAAATATTTTCATTAATTGATTAATTTAAAAAGAAGTCAGAAAGTGATAGTAAAAATCAGAGTAACACAAGCAACATTTGCATAGCAAATAACCAATTTAAACATACTTGAATATTCATGATCTTATTTAACCCTCACAATTCCTTTCTGAGGGAGGGACTCACATCCCCATTGGAGAGATAAGGAAACTGAGACTCAGGGTGGGGAAATGACTGGCATCCCGTCACCCCACTGAGAACTGAAGCCAGAACCATGTTACCAGCCAGTTCCTCCAGGTACCCTTCTGCCCCTTAGTCCCAGTCTCTGTCCTCAGACGTCATCTTTCCCGAGGAGGCTTGCAGCCCTCGTTCCTGGCTGTCTCAGGCTACCAGTATGCGGGTGCCGGAGTGCTGCTGGGCACCACGCCACACCCCGCACAAGGAGGCTGCTTGGGGTGGGGGCACAGGAAGCCTCTCGGGGGCTTGTGCCAGCTGAGCGAGGATCCCAGGCAGCCGCTCTGAGCTGGTCCTGTTCGGAGTGCCCAGCAGCCCCAGAGCTTGTGCAGCTGTTGCTATGGCAAGAGTCTGGCTGTCTCCCTGCCTGGGACCAATTGCTCCAAATCCTTTTTAGTTGCTATCCTTTCCAGGGCATTTATTTCCCAGTTCCTGGCCAAGGCCTGTGGTCTGCAAATAAAGATGTCAAACAGCCGCTGTGCTGAGCACACAGAACTGGGGACCACACTGCCGCCTTCAGAGCTTCTGCCTGAGGCCTCTTAGACATGGGACTGCAGGCTTGCAACACTCACTCAGTTGTACTGTTTCTTTTTTCATTCTTAGAGGGAGTTTATGTTTCCTACAGAAAATGTGGAGGATACAGAAAAGCACAGAAAACTAATAATTATTCATTTAGGAAATATTTCCTGAGCTCTTGCTATGGACTAAGTTTTATGCTGAATGTGACAGATACCGACATGAATAATACATTTCCTGTCTTCCCATCACTAAAAGCTAATCACTAGTAATATTTTGACACGTTTTCTTCCAGTTTTAAAAATATGCATATTTAAAATATATTTGAGATCATTTCTACTATGTATATACACATTTTGTATTATCTTTTTTCTTGAATTCAAGGGTAACATGGGCATGTTTCCATGATGTTATAAATAATATCTTGAAACATTATTTCTTTTTCTCTGATTACAAAAGCAATCTATGCTTGTTATAAAACAGACATGTCAGAACTGTATACTGGAATGTTATTTGTATTTTTACCCTCTCCATGAGAAGTAGACAGTCTTAACCCTTTTTAATGACTATATGTATTCAATTACATATACTATCATTTTAAGTTTTCTTATTTTTGATTATAAGCTTTGATAAATATCTTTGCATGTAGACCTTAAGAACATTTTCTCAGATTCTATTCATGTGATGATTTCCCAGTTGAGAGAATTTGGGGTTAAAATGATATGAACACTTGCATCAATTTGAATCCCTATCCATGATATGTGAGTTCATCCATTTCACCACAGCTCTGGTATTGACTATTATAATTAAAAACCACAACATCAAATTTTGTTAACTGTGATAACTAAATTATATCTTGGTTTAATTTGCATTTCTTCAGTGTCTATTGAATTTTCCATGTTTGTTAACCAGATGTACTTCATCTTTTTTCAAGATTTTTTTTTCTGCTTGTTTATTGGGATCTTAATATTCTCCTTATCAATTGGTATGAGGGCCTTACATAGCAGAGTGTCTGAAGTGTAGGAAATTCTAGAGTCTCATTAAGGGACCGATTAGACTGGCGTCTCTGTGCTGGTGTGATTGTTACCTGTGTGGGGGCTCTGCGGTCAGACTACCCAGGATTAAATTCTTGTCATTGCTACTTTACAGCCATGGATCCTGAACAAATGATTTTAACTGCCTCAGTTTCCTCATCTGTGAAATGGGGACATAACACTGTCTCATGGTGTCTATTTCTTCCTGTCCAGAGTCAGTAAGAGCATATATACAAAGTTCTTAGTTCAGTGCCTGGCTGGGATGCAATTCACATGAGCTTTTGTCACCATTGTTATTTCCCAGATAACCTTCACAGTTCCAGAACATTTCTCCCCCTCCACTTCTCAGCCCCAGTTACCAGGTTGTCTCATTTTGTTTTTCTGCAGATCAGCCAAATGGCCGACGACACAGTTGCAGAGCTAGACAGGCATCTGGCCGTGAAAACCAAAGAACTCCTTGGATGAAAGCCCAGCAGGGGCAGCAGTGCTCCAGAGCCCAGTTCCTAGTGGATCCCACGGGTGGCAAATCGGCACTTCTCTAGTCCATCCATATGGAAGGCTGTCACCTCACAGCTGTCAGTCCTGGTGGCTGACCGCCCTCCAGTGGGACACTGTTTATTCTCTTCCTCCTGTCCCCTGACCACCGTACCTGCTCCGGCCCTTCTGGCATGGGTGGTCCTCAGAGACGCTCTGTTGCTGACAGAAGGCCTACACTTGGACCATTTGTCTTGACCGTGACGTCACTAAGCTGTCAGGACCATTGGCAGGCTTGCCACTGTCTGCTGCTCATCTCGGGAGCCTCCTTTTCAGACAATTAGTCAGGCCCTGTCCCCACTTTTGAACTCTGCTTAAGCCAGTGTGAGCCTTCACCCGTGTTGGATACCTTTGCTAGAGGCCCATTTTCACCAAACGGTAAAACCTAGATAAATTGGAAAGAATAAAAAGCACAAAGGAAACGATGGGATCGGTCTGGATTCATGATCTCCGAGGACAGTGTGTAAAGCATCCAGGACAGTGCTCTTGCTCTTTTCCCTTACCATCCTCCCACTCCTTGCCTGGCCGGTCCTGTTCACCCTTGGGTCTCAGCTTGGATAACGTGTCCTTTCCCCCTTCCCCAACCTAAGATGCCTGTTATTGGCTCTCCTAGCACTGTCCACTGCTTTTTTTTATCTGAACCTTAATATTCTTTTAGATAATTAGTCTGTATATTTTTAGTTTCCTTACACATTGGCATAATGTCTGGAACATAGTGAGCATTCAGTGTGTTGTGAATGAATGGCACATAGAAGCTGCTCAACAAATGCTGGCTGCTTTTCCTTTCTTTGCACTCTGAACACGGTTCTTCTGTCATTTTTCACTCTTGCCTCTGTCCTCAGCATTTACTCAGTAAAGAGATCTCTGTCCCCAGGGCCTGTCTGTTACTGATGGACAAGTTGTTTATTGTGGTGCATCTTTGGGTACTAGGTTAAATTATGTTGTCCCCCCCAGTAATTCTTTTCCCTTTGTTCATTTATTCAGTCATTCATTCATAATCTAGCCATCATGAGCTAGATTCATAACACTTCTAGGTAATCTTTTTAATCCTCACAGTAAACTCACAAGATGTTTTGCAAATAGGAAAACTAAGACATGACCATATCAGATAACTTGACCAAAGTGTTAGAGGGTTTCATTGTCAGCCTCATTTTACAGAGAGGGGAGAGCTCAGAGAGGTTCAGTCTCTTGCCCGGGATTACACAGCTATCAACGGGCAGACCTGGGCGTCACAGTGAGGCCTGATCTCAATCCTGTGCTCTGCCCACTGTATCCTGCTGCCTTCACAAACGGTGGAGCGCCCACTTTGCGCCAGGTACTGTGCTCCGTGCTGGGACTACAAAGATGGGGGAGACACGGCCCCTGTCTTGAGAGGTGCATGGTCACTGGACTGTGTTGCTGTCTGTGGTCTCTTGGCCGGAAAGTAGAAGGCCTATTCCAGTTCTGCTAGATGTCTGCCTTTAGAACAGAACCCTCTCTGGCGGCAGCAGGGCCTGGCTACATTCCTGCCAAGCAGCATCCACATTCTCTCTGCTGTTTGCTTCCCCTCAGACTCTGTCCCCTGTGAGAGGTAATAAAGGTTGCGCTTCTCCCTCTGCTTGTACTGGCAGAACACGCTGCACAACAGCCAGTGGGATTCAAGGTCAGAATTAGGTCAAAGATGAAAGAAGGGAACACAGTCTCCAGCCCCGCTTACCTGTCCTCAGTCCAGCTGCATCATTCACCAGCCCCGAGTAGCCATCTCAAGGTCAGAAGTCAGCCAGGGGGAGGGACAGGGAAAGAAACAGCAATCAGGGGAGATATTTTTTAGGGGGTAAGCCACATGGCAGGGGCTTTGCAACAGTCTTTTGTGAGTGGCCGAAATCCCCCACTCACTACAAATGTGCTGCTCAAAGATGCAGGATTTTTTAATAAACAGAGGAAATGATAAATTATGTTGTAACTCCACTCCAAAGGCATTTGGTTCTTAACAGCCAAATCCTCTGTAGTCTTTAAATAAACAAAAACTTATTTGGTGAACAGACGGGGAGGAAAATGAAAGATTTTCTGTACTTGGGTTCCACATGTCAACAATTTCTCTCCTGTGTGTATGTTGGCCAAAGCCGTATATCATGATAAATGAATAAAGGAAAACCTCGAGCCCAGGGCAGTCAGGCGGCTCAGCAAATGGCTTTCAGCTGATTGCTCTATTTCGGTTGACATTTATCAAAGGGTTTCTCTGCTACCCTGCATGTCAGGCCTGCCGTGGTGGCAGGGACGAGAGGGCAACTACCTGTGTGGATGTGCTGAGGAGTGGGCGATGCTGGAGCCATTCATCCTCCCTTATCGAGTCTCTCTTGCACAAAGAAAACCCAGGTATGGAAATTCTGACACTTGCCGGAAAAATTAACCACGTCCTCTACTCAGTTCAACGGCTTTCAAAGTCCCATGAAAAATACAGGCCAAAGAGAATTTGGGAACTTCTTTATCTGTTTATTTTTTCTTCTTTCTTGTGTATGTGTATGTGTGTGTGTTAGAAATTACAGAAGAAACTGGAAGGTAAAAAGTTAAGCATCTCTTACAAATCCTGAATTGCATACTCCCCTTTAACAATTAGATGTATGTGCTTGCAGACCTTTCCCTATGTGTGTGTAATTTTTTGAAAAACAGGGATGTGCACCATTCTGTTTCTGTTTTGAAACTGGACTTTTTTTTTTTTTAACTCAACGTATCATGGCCCTCTAGCCCCTTTTTCATTGCCTTACAGTATTCCATAATAAGGATGTAATATAACTTATTATCACTCCCATGGTATTTTTTTTTTCCCATGGTATTTTAAAAAATAATTTCAACTGCGTTGGAAGATGTTTCTATTTATTTATTTTGAGAAAAAAGAACCGCTCATCTAAGTTGATCTCTTTTGAGGCCCTAGTCAGCCTCAGACTACCATTTATTAAGTCCCTCCTATAAACCAGGTACATTGCTGAACATTTTACATGTGTTACTACATTTAAATGTCCGAACAGTCCTCGTTGGTGTAGGTAAGACTCCTATCTGTGATTACATATTAGAAAACCAAGGTTCAGAAAGGCTACATACAGCTCTTAATAGTAAGTGCTGGAGTGAAGTTTGAGACTCGGATCTAACTTTTAAGTGGGGCCCCTGATCAATGCGCTTCAGTTTTTAAATTGTTTATTAAGTACTGACTCAGAATGTGCCCAGCAGTTTCTGGGCCCTGAGGGTGATATGAGGGAAGCAGAGAGCTCACTTTAATAAAATGATTAGAAAACTCTTTCTAGCAAAGGGCTGCATGCAGAACAGTCCGGTGGCTGGCACATAGACAACAGTGAAGAAATGGTAGCTCTTATGGAGACAGTCAAGATTACATATTTATTCCTTCTCTAGAACCTATCGGAGAATCGGAGCGAGCGGAAAGACCATCCAGAAGTGAATACTGATAATAACCACAGTAATAGTATTGACAGCATCAGTAACTAATATTTGGCTAGGTGCTTTTTAGTTTTCAAAGTTCTATCAATACATCCTTTATCCCATTGGAACCACTGGGCGAAGCTTTGCAAGTTCTTTTGTTCTAATAAGGGTCAGTTTTCATTATGTGTGTGAACAGGTACATTCTCTATTTTTAGGGGTGCAAGTTTTGAAATGGACACTATGGAAAATATATTTCATAGATTACATTGTTTACATTTTCTGTGTTTTGATGAGAGTTGGACCGAGAGTGGTGTGTTTCAGTCTCCTGTTATTAGCATTTCTAAGTCTCTCTGCATTTCCTGTAATTTCTACTCTGTGAAAGTGCTGGCGTGTTGTTTGCTGAAGAGATGGCTTGAGTCACACCTTCTCCGTCTCATTCAGTGCCAGGAGCCTGAATTCTATCTTGTCATAGATCAAGATCGCAGCCCTTGCGTTCTTTTTATTTACATTTGCTTGGTGTATCTTTCCCGTCCATTTGTTTTTAGGCTTTTTGAATCAGTGTTCTAGGTGTATGTCTTTGACAGAGTTAGATTTTGTCCTGTGAACCCTTCTAAAACTCTTTTTGAGTTTTTGTCTTTATTTTTCATTGTAGTAGAACACACATTGCATAAAATTTGCCATCTTGACCATTCTTAAATATAGAGTTAGGAGTGTCAAGTACCTTCACGTGGCTGTGCAACCAGTTTCCAAAACTCTTAAACTCAGCCCCTTAAACAACTCCCATCCCTCCCTTTCCCAGCCCCTGGCAGCCACCATTTACTTTCTGTCTCTGTGAATTTAACTGCGCTAAGTACCTCATATAAATGGAATCACACAGCATTTGTCTTGTTGTGACTAGCTTATTTCACTTAGCATAATGTAGCGTGTGTCAGAATAACTTTCCTTTTTAATGCTGAAAAATGTTCTATTGTCTGTATGTATGAGATTCCTTTCAATAGATGACTTAAACTCATTTATATTTATTGATAATACTGTTAGGTTTAGTAGAACTCACTTACTTTTTTTCTTTCTGTGCAATGTTAACAAAAGCTGGTTTGATGTTGAAACCCTTAGCATTAGATGGAGAAGGGTTGCTTCAGCAGAGAGGAAGTTACCATTTGTTGAATGAACAAATGAGTGATGATCCTTGTCTCTTCTCTTCCTCTCTTCTGGTCTCTGTTTTAATCCATCCTGTACTGTTAGGTCAGATCAACCTGAAACAGCCTTTATCCTTTCATTCTTCTGTCCCCAAACCTTTAATGACTCCTCATTGGCTGCTGAATTATGGTCAAACTCTTTCTCCCTGGCATCCAGTAACTTCTGCAGTCCCTCTCTTTAGCTGTGACACACCACCCACAGCTACCCTGCTAAGGCAGCCAGTGCTTATGCTGAGTGGAATGATAGCTTTTCTGAAATTTTGTGCTGCTTTCTTCTCCCTCCATGTCTTTTCTTGGGCTATTTTCTTTGCCTGGTGTGTGCTCCTTTAAACCCCTGCCCCACCCAGTAGGCAGAATTTCTATCTAGCCTTCAAAAGCCATGGTCCCATGTCCTTCCTTACACTAACCTATTCATTTCTTTAAAAAAATTTTTTTCTTAAATTCATTTGGCTGCCTCGGGTCTTAACTTGTGTTGTACAGAATCTTTTGTTGCGGCGTGTGGACTTAGTTGCTTAGTGGTATGTGAGATCTTAGTTCCCTGACCAGGAGTTGAACCCATGTCCCCTGCTTTGCAAGACAGATTTTTTTTTTAATTTATTTACTTTTAATTGAAGGATAATTGCTTTACAATATTGGTTTCCTTTCTGCCATACATCAACAGCAAGGCGGATTCTTAAACCCTGAACCATCAGAGAAGTCCCAAACCCATGTATTTATCTACCTGTTCCTCCTCACCCCTAGCCCTACATGTGCGTAGGTAGCATCTCCACTTGAATGTTCCTCGTGCACCGCAACTGCACGGCCCCATCTGGATTGCTC